TCTTTTAGATTCAATAACTTTAATAAATATCAAGAATCCCATTACTGTAGTCCCCCTCGTTTGAAGAAATTTCTTATTCATCTAAAAGTTTTTTTACTATGTGATTTTTTTTTATAGCACTCATTTATTTTCTCAGCTCTCACTTGACCAACTTTTTTGATCACAACTAAAAAATTCAATTGAGTAGATTTTTTTAACAACATTTTGATTGGTTTTTTTGTTAAAGTAAATCATTAAAATTAATAATATTTTGAATATTTCAGTTGTAGAATATTTATAATCAACAACAATTACTTAGAAATAATTACTATGATTTCTATTTAAGAAATCTATTACACTAAAAATGCAAACAAAATATTGAGCTTTTCTGATAAATTTACAATAAATAGTAATTATACAATTTCCTGACTGCATATTAATCTTAACAATACTATTTTTTTATTCTCATAAAAGTTTCTATTTAATAATGTAAATTTTAAACTTAAAGTTGAACTTTAAGTTATGGTAACATATTCAATTTTTTTTTATTATAAAATTAAAAAAATCAACTTAAAAATACTAAAAAATTAGGTTAAAAATGATATTTTTCACTTTTTATTTTTAAAATGTTAAAAATCAAAATATGTAATAATTTAAAAACGATTTTTTGTGTTAATACTTATTTTTTTATCGTTATAAATCATTTCAACAGAAGTATTAATAATTTCTATATAATTCTTGGTGTTTAAATAAATGATACAATTGAAATATTTATTTAGAACTATTTTCCATATAGTTATATCCTATAGTTTTTATATAATTAGTAATAATGTAAAAATTATTGGTGATGGAAAACATATAATTTCTGATTTGAAATTAGCACAAAAAATTGAATAATAAAAGTGTCTTTTTTACTCTGACGAATTTCTTTTGCAGACTATTTATTCATAATTGACAACAAATTATTATCAAAAAAGTTCTGTGTCAAGCCCTTTAATTTTCATTCACGTTTACCATAAAAGTAATAACTACTTTATAATTTTTTATATATTCTCCGAAAAAAATTACCAAAATATTAAATTATTAAATATCAATTTCATACTACGCTGAATTGCTTTAATAGATATTTATTTATAAATTATACTTATAAATCAACTACTAATTAGAAATAATGGATTGAAATAGGAATTAGTTTTGCTTTTAGAATAATCAACCAGTTTCTTAAAATTAAAAACTATCTACTGATTTGAATCGAAGCGTTTTTTATGATAGTGACATTAATCACTGTCAGATTATATCTATAAGGGACCCAACTATACCACGTCCCCACTTTGCTGGGTATTTTTGAAAATAAAGGTCTTTCAATAAACTGAAATTTTAAGGGCCCAATATTTTTATTGTACTCTGTTAACGAAATTTGAAATATACCTCTAATTACAACATATACTCTAGGAAAACTAAACATTTTTATTTAATAAATATTTTATAAATATAAATATATAGTTTTATTAGTATTTTATTTAAACTTTTTAACAGTACAATCTAAAAAAAATGTTCGAATTTTCACATTTATGTACTGGGTGTTTTTAACGTTTAATGTAGGAAAACTTTTGATAAATAGAAATAAAAATGTTATATATGTGTACGAATTTATATTTCTTTATTTTAAAATCTACATACACTACTTGTATATAAAATTAAAGCGTACAATAATAATATCATACTGACGTATAGGAATTTTTCATTCAATTAATATGAGATTTATAAAATTTATAGGAATCACTTCTTATTTTACAATATGAATTTTTAGAATCATTGTACTGAGTTTATTAGTATTCAGCATAAGTAAATCCGGTAAATAATCAAATCGTATCGTTTTAGTAATTAATGAAATTTGCAAAACATATCTTTTGATTTCATTGGTCAAAGCAATGGGAGTGGTCAAATCAAGTTTTGCATCAAGAGTTTGAGATTAAACAAAGAAAATACTGGTTTTTTTAGTTGGGAAGTGGACTTGGAGAGATATTTCAAGTTCTTCTTAACATAATAGATATTAGAAAAATGGTACATGTGTACATTTTCTGACGACATTTATAAGTCATTATTTGATTGAATAAGGTTAGAATTATATTATAACAAACGTACTATAACTTAATTACTATAATTTTTTTTAAAAGCTGACTTAGCTATGTTAGATTATAATTAAACATTTTTAATAGACGCAAATATTTACAAATTTTGTTAGAAAAAAAAACTTATCTTTTAAAATAAAAATCACATTTTGGTGCCCATATATCCTATTATTAGATTTTTAAATGAACATTGAATTATAATTAAACAAAGACAACAAAATATATCATTCACTAAATTTTTTTTTGTACCTAAAATTTACGCTCACATTTTAATTTATTCTCTTTAGATGCTCAGCCTTCCCTATTATTATTTTTTATATTTATTTATAATAATTGATAAAAGTACGTATAAAATTTTATTGTATATGGGCAAGAAGTATATAAATACAATCTGAATAAAGTTTTAGAGAGGGTTATCATATACAATTGTCCATTAAAAAATATTTTTACGAAGCAACACGTATATTTTTCCTTTTGGAACAAAATAAAAAATAACTTAAAAGAATAAATAATTTATAATTGTATTTGAAGTTTGAAAAGTAATAATTAAATTAAAATGTAATAATATTATATCTCCCTTTAGTTTTTTTCTGGATTTATTCCTATTACTATTAAGCCAAAACTTTCTCATTGTTAATTAACTAAGTACAATAAAACTACACAAATGTCTAGAATTTTCTACGACTTATTAACATCGCATTATTTCACCGTTGCAATTTACTAATTAATAATAACAATTTTATACTCGATGCCCATAAGGTATTTGAAAACACATTAATATCTAACAAACAAAATTAACAGTTAAATTAAGATAATGTTATGTGAATTCAACGAAATACAATCCGACAGCTAGAAAGATTAAGAAAAAATATCTCATTTCACAGTATAATTACAGAATATAATGATAAATTAATATATTTTTCGTTTATCAACACAATATTAAATTTAATTACGGCTTAGTTGTTTTTTAACGCAATTGAAATGGTCAAATAATTGTTTGTACAAGATGTTTATTGGTTACTGAGAGAAATGAGTCACAAAGCTAAAGGAATCTGAATGGGCTGACCCTCAATTTTGCACATTGAAATAAATAAAAATTAATAATTATAGTTAAAAAATATTTTTATACATCACAATATCAAAATTTTGATAATATATCTTTGATATATATAAATCACTATTTTCTAGTTAGATAGTAATTTGAAGTCTTTTATGAAAAATAGACTATAGCAGTTCATATAAGTTCTTAAACTGTTGAGCCTCTAAGTTTTCTTTATATTTTTGATACAAAAAATGATAAATAAAAATAAGTCCTAGTTTCCAAATTTTAATTATCAATGTTGAAAACTGAAATTAAATCATAAACCAATTGATATCTTATTTGTATTCAATTATTGATTACGAATTGAAAACTTTTTTTTTTTTAATAGGTATTTGTTAATAAGTACTTTATTAATTCTTGTGACATGTAAGTAGTCGCGTAAGTTATAACATTGTTCTTTCCATTATTTTAAAAACACCAATTAATTTTCCATCAAGTGATATTTTTAAGCCAAAATATTCTGATTCGTGAAATGATATTTAATAAACTGAATATTATAGGATAGTAAATTTTAAACTTCGAAGTTAGCATATTTATCAATTTATTTACATTTTCTTTTCTATTTTAGTTTTAGTAAAATAACTAAACTAAAAACTTCTTTTTTATTACTTGGCCCATGTATCATACATTTTTACTAAATAATTTTATAAAACATAATTGAGTATTAATTATAAAAGAGATGGCAGTAAAAAGTGCCGTCAGATACATTATTACTAAAAAAATGTTTTTATATATAATCAACTTTCTCAGCTACACGACAGATCTAAACTAAGATAGTGCATGTTTTTAAATTTTAAAGCGGTTTTCGAAAAATTAATTCCGTGATAACAGTGCTAAAATATTCCGGTTGTGCAAGAAAGAAGTTAAAATAAGATTCCATTTAGAGTATGTGAGATGTTAGCATTTATACGACTTTAGAGAAGTATAAATTATTCTCTGTTATACATTCAGATTTTAATTGAAGTCTGTTAAATTTTTTTTTACTATTAAGAAAAGTTATAATCTATACAACGTTTTAAATAAGCAATTAATATAGTTAAAGTTCAAACTTTTTTCTTAGCAATCATCAAAAGTATTTGAAGTTAACAGTAACAAGTTAACGGTAACAAATAATTTAAGGTATATTTTAACTTCGATACGAAGCTGAGAAGGTATTAATTTTACAATGATGTGATTTTTATTTTATTTCATATTTCTTTATTTGTTAAATACTAATTTTTAACATGACTGTGATAGCATTTTATGAATATTAGGGTACCATTATAGTGCTAATTAGTTTTATTATGGTGTTTAACGATATCATGAAAAATGTTGTTCTCATAAAAATATAAAAACTGGCATATATGCAGATGAATCTATATATTTTTAATAAGGTTAATCAGTTCAATAAAATTAAATTGATAAATTTCCAATGGAATTAACCTATGCACTAGTTAATTTGTTTGCAACAAATATAACTATTATTACTCAAAAAATTAAACAATCGTGTTTAACGTGATGTCATAATGAGACTGTCTTATTTATTGAGACCTTGAACATGAAATCGCAGCAATAAACAAATGGCGCTAAAAAAATTGACACAAGACAGAAACAATGTAATTTGTCAATATTATGCATTATTCTCAGGCATTATTGGTAGTTATGATTTATTTGATGCAAAATTTGATCATTTAAAATTCCATTGAGTATATGGTTAAATGGTACACATGGAACACAATATTGTGATACGTTTGAAACCGGTTTGCCGCGTTCGATTCTTACTCGGAGGACTTCCGCTCAGGTATAGAGTTCACTCAGTCTCCACTTGACCGTCAATGTCATATAACGTAATTGTGATAGTAATAGTAAAATGATAGGTATGTTTCCATCATACATTTTCTACTATTTTCTACTTATTGCACCGGCACTGGCGTTTATACAGCCAAATATATTGTGGCTGGATGAAAGTAAGTGACATTCAGTGTATAAATTGTAATACTAGGAATATTATTTTTTTTATTTGAATTTAACAAATTCATTTCGTTTATTTAAAAATCTTAACTATTTCTCAGGATAATCAGCAATTTGAAATTCTCATATTTAATATGTAATAAATAATTTTCATAAAGTTTTAACATAAAACATAACAAAATTTCAATTAAAAATTATTTTAATTTTCATCGAGATAAATTGTATCTCTATATTACTACATTAAAAAAAAAATTTTTTTCTGACACATTTTTCTATTTTTTTTATTAAATCTTTCATTAATATAATTTTTTAACATTTGTATTGAAATTCCTTATTTTTAATTTAAATTGAGCTTTGAAAAATTTTTCATAAATTTAATTGATTTTTCTTCATTAACTTAAACCCTTCAATTCTAAACTGTCTCATCTATTTAATATATTGTGTTAAGCGTAAAATTAATTTGTACTGATTCTTATAAATCAATTTTTCAAATTCCTTATTTTTTTATTTATTTATTTTGCAAACTAAAAAACAGCTACTATATTAGTAAATTTTAATTTATAGCACACATAATCTTAGTAGATGACTGAAACTATACTTTAAAGATCCTCGCAAACTTGGTCGATAAATGAAAAAAGTTTGTTTTTATTAAAAATATATAAAAACTGTACAGTGGAGATTTTTTTATTTCGCGAATTTATGTGCCGGAACTATCTGTTATCAATCATTACACAGATAATTATAAGGGATACTATCATCCCGCCGTTTTCTTCAGTGACTAAACTTGTTATTTAATCATAATATACGTTCTATAAATTTGTTCAAATTATTATTTGTTTATGAAAATTCATAATACGTTATAAATTAATAATATTAGCCGCCAAATGGTTCATAAAAGTTAGTAATACAGTAACCTTTAAATTATGTAATATACTATAGAATTAATTTCTTATTCGATTCATGAGTCATGATATTTTTTAAGCCCATCAAGTCTGGTATAAATGTATATGATTACATTAGTTAATGAATCTATTCACTTTTCTATAATTACATTAGTGTTAATTTTCTTAATGTTTTAAACATTGTTTTAAACTAATTTAGTTAAGTTCTTAAAGTTAAATATTAACGTAGTCATCGGTTTGTAAAATTTTGATAATTACTAGCTATTTTCAATGTTATGAAATAGATCTGAAAATAATGTGTTAAAAATAATAAAAAAATAAGTTGAAAATTAGAGTGCCTTAATCAATTATTATAGCAGTACTGAAAAACACAGATATAGCTCAACGCGTATACCCGTTTTTTGTAATTTACGATGTATAAAAAAATACTTTGTAATTTATATATTATGTTTCTTTTGTTCTAATATTTGAACTGTAACAACTTCTGACAATTAAATACTCAGATAATAACATTAAGTACGTGTACTATTTAATTTCGCTACGTATAATAAATTACTTACTAAGACGAGGCTTTTTAAGTAATTATTAAAAAAACGTAAAATATACTCTATTAATTACGAAACCCTAAAATCAGATTTTTAACATCACGTGGCTGCAAAATACAACTTCCTATTACTCAAATTATAAAAATAATAAAATAAACTAGTTTTGTGTTGACTAAGGACATGATATATATATATATATATATGTATGTATTAAACAGCTTTGATAATTATTAAGGAAAGAATTAACGAAATAGGAAATATTATAAATCCACATACTTAATTAAAAGATTCCACAGCTCTTAAAGTGTTTATTTTATATTAATTCCACTGGAAAATGAATTATTCAATGTGTGAAACAATTTGTAAAGACAAAATTGTAAAATATATAATCGGTAATAAAAAATATTTGATTAGGTATTAAATTTTTTAATTATTAAATTTAATGACTTTTAACACACCTACTGATGTTACTACGTGTAACATACGAGTAGTCTTCAAAATAATAGTTAATGATTTTCACAAGGTTTATTCTTACGTTTGGTTTCATTACATTATTTTTTAAATTAATTTTACAACTAAGTGCTAGTTGATTTTATAGTTTTTGTTGATATTCAAATTTTATTTGTAAATTATGTTAATGTTTCTATGCTTTGAAAACGTAAGAAATTCGGTATTTCTTTTAAATTACATTAAGCTTGATAGATATTTTTACTAATATATTATAGTAGATAAGATTATAAGTTAAAAATAAATATTCTATAGATTATTTATAAGTAATATATAAACAACGAATATTATAAAAAAGTAAATTATATACAATAGTTATTCTTAAACTCCTTAAATATAATTAATCTGATGATAAGTATTTAATTAGCTATATAAAAATAATAATTTTATTATTTAGTCGAAATTAATAAAACGTTGATGGTAAAATTATACACCGTGTTTTGCTACAATAATTGCATGTGTATGTTTTAAATAATTATTCGACTACAACTCTAGGTCATTGTGTGTCAATATAATCCGTTAATGTTAACGAAAGCTAAAATTAAAAAGAAAACAGGAAATTACTACAAGATACAAAAATATTTTGTTACTTATTTCCAAATAAATAATAAGTGCTTTTATTATTTCCTTATGTACCTTGGTTATTATGAACAAAAGTGGCGTTTTTACAAGGAAAACAAATATAAATCTATGATTTAGGTGCAAATTTCATAATAGTAAACTATAAAATCTTTTCGAAGACTACAATTTGATAAAAATTTATTTTTGCGAAAAACATTTTTGTTAATAATATCTGTTAAAAGTGAGAATTGTCTAGATAAACATTAAACTGAACATTTTTTTATACGAAGCAAAATTAGTTCATGGGTACTTAACATCATAACATGTAATAATATTTTTTTTTTGTAAAATCTTTAATTATGTACATTTGTAATCAAACAATAAAATCATTAATTTTATCTAAAAATTGCATGTTAAATTAATGCTTATGACACATTATAAATTATTTTCTATGAAATTTATATTAAAAATTATAATCATAATTTTGAAATTTGCTTTAATAAGGGTCAATTCAAATATCAAATAAAAAAAGATTTATTTATATGTATGATATTATATTGAATTTTTGCAATACTAAAATTATAGTTTTTTCAATTAGTTTAGAACAGAACAGTTTTTATTACATTAATAAGATACATTTATGCATAAAAATATATTAATTATTTCCTAACAAAATAACGAGAGTAAAAATCAATTAGAACAATAGTACTATTTATTAATTGTAAAAAAAATAATTCCTTATCAGTTCTATATTGAATTTTAATCTAAATGCATTTATTTTAATTATGATATTCTATTGTATCAAAATAATACAATGAAAATAATCTCGTGTTACTAATAATTTAAAACCTTGAAATAAAACTATTGTTTGACATATTGAATTCATTGACGAATAGTTAAAATAAAAAGCCGAAATTAAATATAAGTATAATGTTTTAATTAGTAAATAACGTGCGTTTTAGAATCAAACACTGCAATTAATTCAAGTTACCGTTTTTTTCATTGGACCAAAATAAAAAATTAATATTTCATTTTTAACATATTTATTTATTTATTTTTTGTACTTAGAAGTAAATAATCATATATTATAATATCGTAATTAATATGCATATGGATAAGCACATGGGTAAGATGTTTTTTTTAATTGTGAAGGATTTAAACCGGTACAAAATGTTTAATACGGTAAACCTATTATAAATAGAAAGTAACTTTCTAATTCAAAAAAAAAAAAAGAATGAATTTTGACTTATTGGGAAAAAATAAAGATGTATTCTAACAGAAAGTGTATAATGTGTATTTATTGTAAAATATAAGTAATATATTATAGTAGTATGCGTATGTTACACAATACTCATATATTATTATTATGTACTATAATACAAGTAGCTATTGAATAATTTCCTATTTATTGGTAAAAATAAAACGTATACTGTTTTATATTCTTACACCAAAAGATTTTTTGTGATTATTTTGAGAATTAACAATCATTTTTGCAATATTCTTGTAGTACATTTAAACTTTATTATTTTTCAAGGTTAACATGTACCTGTGTAAAATTATGCTTTTCAAATTATGCCTATTCTGCTAAGATATTAATTTCACTGCACATGCATTTTATAAATCAAAATTATCACTTAGCATTTAATCGCCACTAAGTCCATTCATTTAAATAAGTAAAGTTAAATCGGGTACTAGTCGAGTAATCGAACAACTTAAGATTGTTGAAACTATTAAAAGTGCAATAACAAATTTATAAATTTTATACTTGTAAATGGATATAAAATTAACAATTCCATCCATTATAAACATTTTATTTCTTAAATTTTGATATTTTAAATTAGTTGTAAGTTTCCAAAGCAAAATCATTCTTTTTATTAATATATGATGGATTTTATCATATACATAAATAAAAATTAAACTAATAATAGTGCTAATTTAGTAATTTGTTGAAAGTTTATAAACGTTGTATTAATTGTCTTGATTTTTATAGATGAAGTTTGTAAAAAAGACGGTGTAGGTCAAGTTCATACTTGCAAACCTTTGGATAAATGTGAAACGGCGATACAGGATATCAAAGAAAACGTTGCTTATCCAACTATTTGCAGTATTCGTGGAAAAATGCCAATTGTGTGTTGTTCACCAGTAACAATCAGTAAATCTAAAGACAAAATTTTAAAAACCACTACTAACGATTTAAAGAACACATTCGACATTCCTCCTGAAATTTTATGTGAGTATAATTTATTCATTTATGTTGTTAATCATAGCGTTACACATATATGATATTAGATTACTATCAATAATGTTCTGATACACCGGAATCTAAAAAATTCTGATGGGCCTTCTATAGTTGGGTTCAGACATTTCAAAAAACAAAATTATCTACTGAGTTCATTATTAGTATCTATTCTAAGATACCATTTATAGAGTATTGTTGACTTAATCAGTTTTTTTTTTTGTTACATAGACTCTTATGGTACATCATTTAAGCGTTGTTTTGACTTTGATAGTCATTGTTGTTCTTTACATTAGTATTTGTTATTTTTTCAATCAGTATAAGAAGGTAACAGCAGGCTATTGAGTGATTTGTCAACAATGTTTTCGTTTTATAGAGTGATGACCCCACAGTTTACTGTTTACTTCCACTATTTAAACAATACCTTCATGGTATTTTCAAACATATACCAATAATTTAATTTCACAAAGAGGGGGATATCCATATAGATATTTATCAATTTACCTGTTACGTACCCGTGCATGGGCAATGATGATTGACATAAAATTAATGTAGGGAGGAGACTCTTTGATCTTTCCATATATATTTCAAAGTTTATTTTAATTCAACTAGAAACACACACAAAACAGTTCAATTCAAATAAATAAAGACGCATGGATATTTCTTTAAGAAAGCTCGAGTTACAGCTGTCTATGAAACCTTGACTATAAAACAATAAGTAAATTAATGCCTCGAGTATTAATTACAAACGGACTACGTTAATAGATTATTCTTGCTATTGTTATTAGGATTACTTCATTTGTCTCCGTTGTAATATAACTTTGTCTCGTCATATTTTAGACTTAATTTAAAAATGATAATTTTTAACTATTGTCATAACGCAATTCATTAATTTATTAATTGTTGATGTTTTAATTTCAGTGCATTTTACAAAACATCGAAATGGTGTATTACAAGATAATTTAATAAAATTTACTCGTCCTCGTAGACTGTAATCGATAATAACTTAATACAACATCCACCAGAATTTACTGCAAAGATCAGGAGAGAGTGACTAAAAAGATAAGAGACGAAAGAAAAATTTCTTTAAAAATATAATGTATTTTCGTTCGAAGACGTCTTTTCAGAATTGGGTGGCTGTTTTGTGTACATGATGAAAATGTGCTACCATTGCTCTGTAGGGGACAACTAATGGATCAAGACTAATAATTTTATGTTAGAGTTTAGGTAATAATTAGTTTGTTATTAATTTAAAACAGACGTACATAAAATATAAAACGTATATCTATAAGAATATGAATTATATAAATCTTTATTTTTATTATTGTATCATATTTATTCACACGTTTTAGTTGTGTATGTTGTTATGGAGAACATATGTTTAACGATTGTAGTCAAATAAAATGTAGTTGAATATACCATTATTATACGATTTTTCATAAAATCTATTTATTATTGTTAAATACTATTATAAAAATATTAATATAAGAATACATAGTTAATAAATTGGTTAAAAATAATCTAGTCATTAAGGTTTAGTTTAAAAATAGTTTTATAAACTATTTTTTTTGTAATAAATAATAAAAATAAAAAAAAAATTTACTTTTTTTCTGAAATATACAAAATAAATATTTTGTTTGATTCAATATAGAGCTATAAATGAATATTATTATTCTTTAATATTTATTTGATTTTCGATATTATAAACAATAAAGGTTGACAGGCGGCAATTAGTAGTTAGTATAGCGGGTCAGATTTTTAAAGAAATTCATTTTCGAAAATCAGGAAAATATACAAAATAGTCAATAAATTTATTGAAATTAATAAAAGACATCATATATTTAAAAATATTTAATCTTAATATATAAAAAGGTATATTTAAAATAAAATAAAAAACAGCATTTGTCAGCTTTTTGAAATTTGATACCCTTCAATATCCGTTAAGTAAATCAAACATTAATTACGCTTAGAAAATCAAGCAAGTTTTCGGAATATACTCCAGAGAAACTTGCTTGATTAAGACAATACTACAAATAAAAAATTAAAACAAATTTAATGTTAATTATTTTTGGGGGCCAGATTTGGACCGCAGGTTGCCTATTTCCAATTCCCGTATGTTGTATACTATAAAACATTGAAAATGACCCATAATTGAGTATAATAATCTAAAATAGGTTCCTATTTTCAAAAACTCTCTCAATTGTAAAAATTACCACAATAAATGAGTTTTTAATTAATTAATTAATTTATGTCAATTCTAAACATAATACATTATCTACAGTGTAAAATCGACTTGGCGTTTATTCTAATTTTGACATAATGGATTATTAGTATAACTTTTTTTGGCTTATCAAGGTTTCCTTAGTTTGATAATGTTAAACAAAAAAAAATGATTCTCGTATAATGGCACTTATGTAATACAGGACAAAGAAGCCATAATTAGTGGTGTGCCAAGTGTATCATGAGAGATTATGAGAGAAAAAATTGTTTATCATTCTTCCATATTTATTGAAACCACAAAATTATTTTGTCCCATAGAAGTTTCAGATCCCTATACTCCTTCCTTGACACGCCGAAATCAATACTTAGGATCCTCTTAAAATGAATTATTATTAATAATTAATTTTAAGAGGATCCTAATAATCATTAATAATTTATTAATGTGAAAACATTTAAAAAAATAAATCTTAGGAACCTTCCAAACAAACAATCAAAAATAAAAATTAAATTTTTACTCCAATGAGAATAGAAGTAAAAAACACCCAGCACAGGGGGGTTGCGGCACAGTGGTGACGTGGCATAGTTGGATCAAGTATAATGATATCTAATAGTAATTATAATCACTATCAAAATAAAAAGCTTCGATGCAAATCTTTAGATAGTGTTTAATTTTAAAAAATTGGTGTATTATTCCAAAAACTACATGAACTTTATCATGAGTTCTTTATTTACAAAAATCGTAATTTTTTATTAACTTTGATGTCTATTTTCACCACGAAGACAAGTCCAGAGGTCAAATTTTTTTTTTTCATAATAAAGTACATTACATTAGCTTTAATTTAAGATATATATAAAAGTGTCAGACTTTCCGGAACATTTTCAAAAGTTAATTTTTTGTAAAAAAGTTGTCGTTTTAAATCCCCCCCTATGGGCAGGTTAAGTGTCAAATTTACAAATAAAATATACCAAATGATAGATACAGACATCAAGCATTTATAAAAAAAAAATTTTATTGATATATTTATTTTTGAAAAAGTTACGGCAGTTTTTAGTAAAAAAAATTGAAAAAATTTCGAAAATTAGCGATTTTTAAATTTGTAATTTTTTTGGAGGTTTCCCCCATTTACGGGGAACGAGGGAAATTTTTTCAATTTTTGAGGGTAATGTCTTCGACTAGGTACGATTTGTGATCTTTTGACGTATCGTTGAAAGAAATCCGTTCGGTGAGAGCTGAGAAAAAGTGGTAACAGACATAAAAAAAAAAAATTAATACCTTCTCAGCTTCGCATCGAAGCTAATAATAATTTGACGTCACAAAATTCAATAATATGATATTATGAATAATCTTAGAACGCGTTACAACTTAAACCACGTATCTGGTTTTCTATCTGCCGGTATTCACGCTCTCACGTTGTTATCAAAAAACATTCAAATATAATGTTAAACAAAATTAAGTTATTTAAAATGATCAGTATACTTCAATTCATTAACTTTAGAAATTTTAAGTAAAAAAAATTAACTAATTTGAATGGATATTCTTATTTTATTATCATTTTTTTCTTCTCGAATAGTTTCTCACTAGAAAAATGGTGGAGGTTTTGCGGGATAAAGAGTATCTCGTCAAAGAATATCTTGAAACTCGTGGATTATACAGTCATCATATAAACTCGTTTAATGCATTTATCGATCGTGATCTTAAGAAAATAGTCCAACAAAATTATGCTGTACGCAGTGATGCCGATCCAAATTTTTATTTACACTTTAAAAATGTTACAGTTGGTTATCCTCAGGTATATATTTTTTCATTATTATGTGTTATCGTATAGACTCATCATTTTAGCCTTTTCCCAACTACTTGAGATTGACTGTAACTTATTGATTTAAGAGGATTTTTACTCTGGATGTAGACTTGACACAACCTCATTATGGTTGAGAAATCAGTAAAGGGGCAAGGTTTGTGTCGATTTTAAAGTTCCCGTGTAGTTACTATTCAGGAACTAACTGTGACTGAATGATTCACTGAGCCCCTACTATTTATATTCATAGTAATTTAATTTTTAAAGTTGAAAATTGATGATTAATGAATGTTTTATTGGTTTCATCATGAAGATGAAATATCATTGGTTTATAAGTATTTTATTTTTAAAATTTAAAAATTATTTAATGATATGAACATGTTTATTTATTTATATTTAATTAAAATAATATTTAGAATATTAATTTAAAATTAGAAAATATAAAATTTATTATTTAACTCAAAAAGCCGCAAATATTGTTTAAAAATTGCGGATAAGTATTTCAGAAGCCATGTTACCATTATTTCTTGTTTTAATTAATATTATCCACAATTAATCAATTCTTATTATATAAGTTTATTTATTACCAATAATTTACATTTTGTAGTTATAAAATTATCTACATAAAATTTATTTTTTATTGTGATGATTATTAATTTATAACTGTTATATAAAAGAAGTTGTAAATCATCTTTACACTTTTAGTATATTTGATGAATAATTTATTTTATCATTCTTCAATTGTTTACATTAAATTTAAAAATGGATAGAATGTAAACTTAAACTTAAAATACATAAGTGTTTATCAAAATATAATACAAATAATAATTTAAAAATTTAAAAAAGTTTTTGAAGCCTTTAAAATAAATAAAGGTATAGTTAAAATTTTAGAATGAAAATTTTTTGTATAATTTAATTATTATTCTATCCTACTGTAAAAATATTAAGTATTAGGTATTTTACTGCCATTTGAATTTCAAAGGAATTATTTTGATATTTTAATAACTTTTTTCCTATATTTTATCTCTTATAAACTTAATTTCTATTTTTTTTTTGTAAAAAATTTTTCCTAGAAATAACTTATAAATATTTTAATATTACAATAATACATTTATTAGTGTATATTTAACAAATAATCTGATTGGTCATTAATTTTTTTGGTTCAAGATTACTCTATGAGTTACAGAATAATTATAATGAAAATAATATTTAAAAATAATATAATCAATTTGTGTTTATTAAAGTGATTCATTTCCATCTCTTTTGTTTACTGATGATTACATTAATGTTAATATATTTATAGGTAGATGACGGCTTTAATGTCACACGAAATGTAACACCTCAAGAATGTCGTCTTAGGGATCTTACTTATTGTGCTCCTATATATGTTGACATTGAATATGTCAAAAGTGGTATGAAATATCTACGAAAAGGGTTTATTATTGGCAAATTACCAATTATGCTTAGAAGTAATCGCTGTTGTTTATATCAAAAATCAAATGCAGAATTAGCTAAAATGAAAGAATGCATCTATGACTCTGGTGGTTATTTTATTGTTAAAGGAACTGAAAAAGTAATACTTATGCAGGAACAACCTGCTAAAAACAAAATTTTAGTAGAAAAAGATTCTAATGGTATTCCAACAGTACAAGTAATGAGTAGTACAGTTGATAAAAAGTCAAAAACAAATATTATTTTTAAAAAAAATTTGATTTATGTTTGCCATAATGCTTTAGAAGAAAATATACCTTTTGTTGTTTTTATGAAAGCTTTGGGAGTTTGTTCAGACCAGTTGATTCAGCAAATGGTAGGAACAGAGTTTCCTATTATGAATCAAATGTATCCATGTTTTATAGAATGTAGTAAATTGAACATTTATACTCAAAAGCAAGCTTTGAGATATATTGGAGATCGAATTAAAAAAATTGGATTCTCTACTGAAGAATATGATAGCCGTGTTATTACTGAGGTACATGATTTTTTATCAACTGTAATTTTAGCTCATATACCCGTTACCAACACAAATTATCATATAAAAGCTATTTACACATCAGTAATGGTGAGGAGATTAATATTTTCTTTATCTAACCCAGATTTATTTGACAGTAAAGATTATTATGGTAATAAGTGTTTGGATTTACCAGGATCATTTTTGTCTTTACTTTTTGATGATACTTTTAAGCGTTTCATTTTTGAACTTAAATCTGTTGCTGATAAAAATATTCCTAAAGTTAAAGCTACTCCTTTTGATATAATAAAATATATTAGGACTGATACAATAACTAATTCATTAGTTTTTGCTATTCAAACAGGCAACTGGACAATTAAGCGATTTCGAATGGAAAGGCATGGTGTTACACAAGTTTTAACCAGATTATCATATCTGTCTGCTATTGGTATGATGACAAGAGTAAATTCTCAATTTGAAAAAAGTAGAAAAGTTTCTGGTCCTCGGTCTCTTCAACCATCACAGTTTGGAATGTTATGCCCATCTGATACTCCTGAAGGAGAAGCTTGTGGACTTATTAAAAACATATCTCTTTTAGCGCATGTTACAACTGAATCTGAAGATGATGATGCTGTTCTAAAACTATCCCTTAATTTAGGAGCTGAACCTGTGGGTTTACACTCAATAGAAGAACTTAATGAAGATTACAAGTATTTAATTATATTTAATGGTAATATCATAGGATCTACAAATAAATGTATTGATTTTGTTAATAAATTCAGATTATGTAGGCGTAAAGGATTGTTCAGTAAATTTATATCTATTTATATATCAGAGAGACACAAAACTATTTATATTAATTCTGGAGATGGTAGATTATGTAGACCTTACATTGTTGTTCAAAATGGACAGCCACTATTAAAAAATTCTCATGTTGAAGACTTAAAAAAAGGTTACTGCACATTTCAAGACTTCATAGATAAATCATTGGTAGAGTTTATTGATGTTGACGAAGAAAATAATTGTCTAATTGCATTTAGTGAAGAAAAGATTATTCCAGAAACTACACATATGGAAATGGCACCATTTTCTATTTTAGGTATTTGTGCTAGTGTTATACCTTATCCTCATCACAATCAATCACCACGAAATACTTATCAATGTGCTATGGGTAAACAAGCCATTGGAACTATAGCTTTAAATTATTTACATAGAATAGATACACTTCAGTATAATTTGTGGTATACTCATGTTCCTATGGTTCATTCAAAAGCTGTGCCAATGATTAACTTTGACAAACTACCAGCTGGTCAAAATGCAACTATTGCTGTTATGAGTTATTCTGGCTATGATATTGAGGATGCAATAATACTTAATAAAGCTAGTGTTGATAGAGGATTTGGACGAGGTGGAACATTTAGAAATTCAAAATGTTTTTTAAGACATTATCCAAACCAAATGATGGATTCCATACAAGGACCAATTATAGATAATACTACAAAAAAACCAATTTATAAACATAGAGCATTAGATAATGATGGTATAGCAGCAATAGGTCAACCAGTTTTTGATAAACAAGTTACAATAAATAAAGCAACTCCAAAAACGGTTACTGTTGAAGATGTAGGTGGTGATAGAGGTTTTAAAGAAACACCAATGTTTTATAAAGGTTATGATCCTTCTTATGTTGATAAAGTAATGATAACTTCAAATAGTGACTGTTTTTTGATAAAAAAAAATTTTAGGCAACCCAGAAGACCTGAAATTGGTGACAAGTTTAGTAGTAGACACGGCCAAAAAGGAGTTGTGGGTTTAATAGTTAATCAAGAAGATATGCCTTTCAATGAAATGGGTATTTGTCCAGATTTAATAATGAATCCTCATGGTTTCCCATCTCGTATGACAGTAGGTAAATTAATTGAATTGTTGGCTGGCAAAGCTGGACTACTTGAAGGAAAATTTCAAGATGGTAGTGCATTTGGTGGAGCAACTGTAACTGATGTTAGTAATGAATTACAGAAACATGATTTCAACTATTTGGGAAAAGATGTTCTTTATTGTGGGATTGATGGAAAACCAATGGAAGCTTACATTTATGCAGGACCTGTATTCTATCAACGTCTTAAACATATGGTTGCTGATAAAATACATGCTAGATCTAGAGGTCCAAGAGTTTTACTTACAAGACAACCAACTGAAGGTCGATCTAAAGATGGTGGCTTACGTATGGGAGAGATGGAAAGAGATTGTTTAATAGCATATGGTGCAAGCATGTTAATTATAGAACGATTAATGTTGAGTAGTGATGTTGTCGAAATGGATGTGTGTAAGATCTGTGGTTTATTTTCATATTCCGGTTGGTGTCATATGTGTCAAAAAAGTAATTCTGTATGTCGTATTAAAATGCCATATGCTTGTAAATTATTATTTCAGGAACTTCAAGCTATGAGTATTGTGCCTAAAATATCATTGAAGAAATATTGTGATTAAATAATTATTCTTAAAAATATATTGTAATCATTAAAGTGTTATTGTTTTTGTAAAAATATATTGAAAACATCTATATTATCAAAACAATGTAAAATTTTTTATTTAATATAAATAAAATTGTAAAAGATTTTATTTATATTATTGTTTATTGAGTACTAATTAAAGTAAATTTTAAAACACTACATTGACTATTAAAATAAAAATTATAGTATTTTATGTATATTTAATTATTATAGTTAGATCATATGTAATATTTTAGAATGTTAATAATGTATTTTAGGCTTCAAATAAAACGAATTTTTAAAAGTATATTCATTAATCATAAATAATTATTATTATGAATACTCTGTGTCACTCGTTTTGTCAGGGAATTATCAAAATATAACAACCAAATATTATTTTCGATGTTCGTTTCGCATATTTTAATAGTTAAAACATAACTATATTATAATTCTACTTAGTAAATCATTAATAGTATACCAGTAAAAATAAAAATGCGTGTTTTATTGTTAGCTCTACAAACTCGTCCTAATCTATATAGTTATAGTTAATTCGTGTATTTTTTTGTAAAAAAGAATTTTATATTTGTATAGTTCTTATATAGAAACTTAAAAAGTACAGTGGGGCACGGCATAGTGTGAACGTGGCATTGTTGAGACAAGTATAGATAATATCTGAAAGTGATTAAAATCACTATCATAGAAAACGATCCGATGTAAACCTGTAGATAGTGTTTAATTCTAAGGAATTGTGGATTATTCCAAAAGCGAAATGAACACCTATTTCCTTTACTATTCCTAATTAGTAGTTTTTGAATTTATAAGTATAATATATGAATAAATATTTATTATAGAAGTTGAATATAGTATTAAATTGATATTTAATAATTTAGTATTGTAATTATTACTGAGAAATTACGAATAAATAAATATTTTATTCATAAAAGAAAATTTCTGTTAATTTCTGAACACACCTCGTATTATCAAATAGTTTGTCTACATGTAGAACATGCCTTTTAATAGGCATGTATAATGTAATATTAAAATATTGTTTAATTCAAAAATCTCTACAATAATATGTTGTTAAAAAACATAAACATAAATTATCTTAAATGGAAACCCCTATTTTGAATTTGTTATTATGATTAAAAATAAAAATACAAATAACTTTGCTCCTATAATTTTTTGTTTCCGATTAACCATTCCTCTGTTAAAGCTTATTAAAGTTCCCAAGGTATGAAACAATTAGTAGTAATTAGTCCCAAAGGTATGAAATAATTAGAAATAAAGGTATGATACAATTAGTGATAAAGGTGAGAAACAATTAGTAATAAATGTGTGAAATAATTAGTCATAAAGGTGTGAAATAATTAGTAGTAATTAGTAATAAAAGTGTGAAACAATTAGTAATAAAGGTGTGAAACAATTAGTTATATAGGTGTGAACAATTAGTAATAAAGGTGTGAAATAATTAGTTATAAATGTGTGAAATAATTAGTTATAAAGGTGTCAAACAATTAGTCATAAAAGTGTGAAATAATTAGTAGTATTTAGTAATAAATGTGTGAAACAATTAGTAATAAAGGTGTGAAATAATTAGTCATAAAGGTGTGAAATAATTAGTTATAAATGTGTGAAATAATTAGTTATAAAGGTGTCAAACAATTAGTCATAAAGGTGTGAAATAATTAGTTATAAATGTGTGAAATAATTAGTTATAAAGATGTCAAACAATTAGTCATAAAGGTGTGAATTAATTAGTTATAAATGTGTGAAATAATTAGTTATAAAGATGTCAAACAATTAGTCATAAATGTGTGATATAATTAGTAGTAATTAGTAATAAAAGTGTGAAACAATTAGTAATAAAGGTGTGAAATAATTACTAGTAATTAGTAATAAAAGTGTGAAATAATTAGTAATAAATGTGTGAAACAATTAGTAATAAAGGTGTGAAATAATTAGTCATAAAGGTGTGAAATAATTAGTTATAAATGTGTGAAATAATTAGTTATAAAGATGTCAAACAATTAGTCATAAATGTGTGATATAATTAGTAGTAATTAGTAATAAAAGTGTGAAACAATTAGTAATAAAGGTGTGAAATAATTACTAGTAATTAGTAATAAAAGTGTGAAATAATTAGTAATAAATGTGTGAAACAATTAGTAATAAAGGTGTGAAATAATTAGTCATAAAGGTGTGAAATAATTAGTTATAAATGTGTGAAATAATTAGTTATAAAGATGTCAAACAATTAGTCATAAATGTGTGATATAATTAGTAGTAATTAGTAATAAAAGTGTGAAACAATTAGTAATAAAGGTGTGAAATAATTACTAGTAATTAGTAATAAAAGTGTGAAATAATTAGTAATAAAGGTGTGAAACAATTAGTTATAAATGTGATAAATAATTAGTTATAAAGGTGTCAAACAATCAGTCATAAAGGTGTGAAATAATTAGTAGTAATTAGTAATAAAAGTGTGAAACAATTAGTAATAAAGGTGTGAAACAATTAGTTATAAATGTGTGAAATACTTAGTTATAAAGGTGTCAAAAAATTAGTAATAAAAGTGTGAAATAATTAGTAATAAAGGTGTGAAATAATTAGTTATAAATGTGTGAAATAATTAGTTATAAATGTGTGAAATAATGAGTTATAAATGTGTGAAATAATTAGTTATAAAGGTGTTAAACAATTAGTCATAAAGGTGTGAAATAATTAGTTATATAGGTGTGAACAATTAGTCATAAAGGTGTGAAATAATTAGTTATATAGGTGTGAACAATTAGTAATAAAGGTGTGAAATAATTAGTTATAAAGATGTCAAACAATTAGTCATAAATGTGTGATATAATTAGTAGTAATTAGTAATAAAAGTGTGAAACAATTAGTAATAAAGGTGTGAAATAATTACTAGTAATTAGTAATAAAAGTGTGAAATAATTAGTAATAAATGTGTGAAACAATTAGTAATAAAGGTGTGAAATAATTAGTCATAAAGGTGTGAAATAATTAGTTATAAATGTGTGAAATAATTAGTTATAAAGGTGTCAAACAATTAGTCATAAAGGTGTGAAATAATTAGTTATATAGGTGTGAACAATTAGTAATAAAGGTGTGAAATAATGAGTTATAAATGTGTGAAATAATTAGTTATAAAGGTGTTAAACAATTAGTCATAAAGGTGTGATATAATTAGTAGTAATTAGTAATAAAGGTGTGAAACAATTAGGTATAAAGGTGTGAAATAATTAGTCATAAAGGTGTGAAATAATTAGTTATAAATGTGTGAAATAATTAGTTATAAAGGTGTCAAACAATTAGTCATAAAGGTGTGAAATAATTAGTAGTAATTAGTAATAAAAGTGTGAAACAATTAGTAATAAATTTGTGAAATAATTAGTTATAAAGGTGTTTTTAGATGTTATTATATATTTAGATGTTTATGAATCTCCTTGTGGCATTCCATCATACAACTAGGTATCGACTACAGGAAACACACGTTTCATATTAACCTTATGTTTTTCTTAAATTGAACTCAGACAACGTTTCCCATTTCTACCTTTTAGTATTTTGCCTTTGCTTTTCACTTAAACGGTATGAAGATATTTGATAAGAATGCTTTCGATGACTTGATCGCATTTCCGCCTATACTTAAGTGTTTTTAGTTCAATTACTTCGTTTTCCCATATTTTTAAGTTTAACTAAATATTGTTAAAAATGGAGTTTTTTTGTTAAATCTGGTGCTCGAGGTGCCATAAACTACTGCCAAATATGAATTTTAGACATATCAAAGTATAGCTAATGATATAGGCTGTGAAATTGCTTATATATTTTATAAAATATTAAGTCCGACGCCTTAGCCATAGCCGTAGTCCTCTCATTTTAAATTTATTCTCATAACTTATGCATCTGTTCTCAACAGTTGTTAACAACTTATGTATCAGTATTTTAGAAGATCTTAGAATTTTTATACTATTAAGGGAATAAAGTTGAGGTTCATAAGGACATAGAGATAAAAATAAAAAAAACCCAGCACAGGGGGGTCGCGGCACAGTGGTGACGTGGCATAGTTGGATCAAGTATAATGATATCTGACAGTGATTAAAATCACTATCAAAAATAAACGCTTCGATGCAAATCTTTAGATAGTGTTTAATTTTAAAAAAATTGGTGTTTTATTCCAAAAGCTACTTGATCTGCTGGTTCCTTATTAATATCTCGATTAAGATAAAGTATGTCGAATGAAAAAGGGTTTATTAAAAAATATTATTTCTCATAAAAAAATTGTGTGGATCCATAAACTTTTCAATAAGTTATAGCATTATAAAGTTAAATATAATATAAATAATAAAATCGAGAATTTTCACACGAAAATAGCATTCGGTAGCCATTTTCGCCGTGAAGACAAATCGAGAGGTCAAATTTTTTTTTTTCAAATTAAAGTATATTACATTAGCTTTAATTTAAGATATATATAAAAGTGTCAGACCTTCCGGAACATTTTCAAAAGTTAAGTTGAAAAAGTTAATTTTTTGTGAAAAAGTTGTCATTTTAAATCCCCCCCTGTGGGCAGATAAAGTGTCAGATTTACAAAAAAAATATACCAAATGATAAGTAAAGACATCAAGCATCTATATAAAAAAAAATTATATTAATATGATCATTTTTGAAAAAGTTAGAGCATTATTAAGTTAAAAATATAAAAAAAAATTATTTTACAAAAATCGTAATTTTTTATTAACTTTGATGT